AAAAAAAAAAAAGAAAAGAAAAAGAAAAAAGAAACAGGCAAATGCTTTAGAGGTCAGGTTACCCACTCTCCAGATGGTTGGGCTAACAAGGACCCAAGCTTTTCAGTGCTGCCATTTCCCAGTGCCCTCGCCCCCAGTACTGGGAACTGAACCTCGGACAGAGGGGGTAAACCCATGGCACACATGCTGCAGTGGCTGCTTGTTATTGAAAACTCTTTTTACTAATATGATTTGGGACAATCTTTGTTGTTGTTATTTTTTAGGGGGGGGTTGAAATATGATTTGGAACAATCTTTGTTGTTATTTTTTAGGGGGGAGGTTTTGGGGGGCACTGGGGATTGAACTCGGGACCTTGAGCTTGTGAGGCAGGTAGGGGCCCCACTGAGCTAAATCCCCAGCCCTGGAACAACAGTATTTTGTTTATTTTGTTTGGTACCGGGAATCAAACTCAGGACCTTGCGCTTGCCAGGCAGGCAGAACCACTGAGCTAAATTCCCGACCCTGTTACTGAAAGCTCTAAAAGACTTGCCATTGCTGATCAAAGCCTACACACGTAGCTATATTTCCCCTCCCTCTCCTTTTTTTTTGAAGACAGGCTCTTGCTATCAAGTTGACCAGGCTGAGCTCGAAGTTGTAATTCTCCAGCTCTGCGCTGGGATCACAGGTGGGCGGGCACCCCCCACCCAAGCTGGCTTTGTGTTTTCAAAGACCTTATTTCTTCCCTTAGCCTGTTTTCAAATTTGTAAAATATTTATATAGCCCTTAGTGTATAGCTGTGTGAGACAAAGGAGAGGGGAAAAGTAATTTATGAGAGTAGTTTGTATGCCAGTTCCTAGTTTTGTTTTTTCAAGATGTCTGGCTTTTTAGAAAACATGCCCATTCAAATATTCGTTCATTCATTCACCAAATAATAATCAAGCATTTCCTATGTGCTGGCACAGTGATAGTGATATATAGGAGCAGTGTGGTTTCTGTCCTTGAAGAACTTTCAGGCTAATGGAGAAAACAGGAATAAAATAAGTAGCCACAGAGTAAGTCCAGGGTGCTTTCTGTGCAACTGGAATAAGCGGAGTTCGAGAGTCCTGGCTCAAAATCTGGCTTTTCCTGCTTTCCCAGCCTTGTGCAAGTCACTTCATTTCTTTGAATCTCCGTGTCTTCTGCAAGATAGGACCAATAACGGCATCTACTTCATAGGGTTACTGTGAGAATTAAACGGCCTAATTTAGGAAGTGTGTAGTTCTGGGCCTGCCTGGCACTCAGGAGTCAAAACGATAACTGTAGGATTCATAAAATATATAGCTGTAACTATGGCTTGTTCCTTTCTTAGTGGGTGTGCCTTATTTAAAGCAGATTCCACCCTCCCATTCACCAGTCACTGCCTTGTTATGCACTTCTTTCCTCCACAGCATCTGGCACTGAAATTATCTCTTTTATTCATATTTCTGTGTTAGGGTCTATCTCTCCATTAGAATGCAAGAGCCTTAAGAGCTGGCTTGCAGTAGATGCTCAGGTATGATTGAATTTAATATGCGTTCCTGAGCCACTCTTCCAAATCTGTAAAATGGAGATAACGATGTCGATAAAGCCCACAGCCTGGAAGTCAGAAATTAAGGACAGTGGGGCCGTCAGCAATTTTTACCCTGACTCGATGCACTCACAAAAGGGAGACCCCTGGACACCACAGCCAACCCTGGGCGGGCTGAGGGATCTAAACCCAGAAGCCGCTGGGGTGGCCACCACTGCAAGGGACCAGGGAGACGACCGGAAAGTGGGTCTGACAGTGACAGGCAGGGGGCGGGACCTGCCCCCAAGGGCGGAGGAGGAAGTGGCCCTGACAAAAAAATGAGAAGCTGCATCTTGAATAATAAGAAATAAAAAGCACGGCCTTTGACTTCCGGCTCTAACGAGGTTCTGGGAACCTTGTTGGTCTCGGGGGGAGACGATAGTTAAGCCAAGGGGTTGGGATGGAGAAAAGGGCGGGGGCGGGCGGCGGCGGCCTCCTCCCTAGCGCCGGCTGCTGGTCCATTCTGTCCGCGCCCCGCATCTCCCAAAGCCAACACCTCAGGGCGGCCCTGATCCTACAGGAGCCAGCCGCTTCCCTAGCTTCCCCGCTTCTCAGACTCCCCACTTCCTTTCCACCTTCGTCAGTCCGCTTCTCTCAGCCCACACACAACTTCCAAGCGCTCTCCCCAGTCCCAGCCATCTTCTCACACCTCAGGGTCAAACGCTTACCGGCATTTTGGTGGAGCCGGGGTTTCAACACAGAGGAGTAGATCCTGGTTAGAAAGCGAACTTTCCGGTCTGTGGGCTCGGGCACAGGGGTCCGGAAGTGAGCCGGAAGGGGAGGAGACGGGAGGAGACGGCCCTTCCGGTCTTGCAGTCAAGGCGCTGTCCGCTGCGGCTGCGCGGATGTGAAGGCGCGCCAGGAGTCGCACGGATACAAAGCTGAATTTGTGAGGCTCGCGCATGCGTAAAAATGCGTGCGGAAGGGAGATGTGTAGTGGAGCTAGAGAGCGGGTGATTCATCACTTTATTTTTCCTTAAAGGTCACCTTTTCAATAAACCATTTCCTTGACTGTTTCAAATTCTACCCCACCTCGGCCCTCTGCCTTCTTTCCCGGTTCCTCCTGTTTTAGAATTCTTAGTTTACTTCTGGGTGTTCCTCTAACCGGTTCCCCATCCATGTGAATGTCAAGAAGGCAGGATTTCTGTCCGTTTTTTTCAGGGTTGTGTCCCTCACGCCTGTGTCAGTGATGGTGCATAGTCAGCATCAGTAAATAGCTGAGTGAATGAATGAACCCAACCCACTGCTTTTTGAAACGGTAAAATAGTGCAGCACGGGAAAGCAGGAAATTGTACAGTCTTGTATTGCCATTCTGTGCAGTGGTTGAGGAAGCAGACATTGGGTCTGAATCCTACTTCCAACATACACTAGCTGTGTAATTCTGGGCAAGTTAATTCATTTCACTGTGCCTCGGTCTTCACCGGAAAATGAAGACAATATTTACCTCATTTTGTAAAGATGAATTACATGGAACGTACTTAGAATTTACATGCCTGGAGGATATTAAAAACAGAAACACCTCATGTGAAAAGCTGTTTATTATTGCCTCTGTGATATCTCTGCCTCTAGTCTTTAAGACTGAAGTACTCTGGATCATATTTCCACATCCATAATCCCAGTACTTGGGAGTCTGAGGCAGGAGGAATGCTGTAAATCAAGGCCAGCCTGGACTAGAGTGAGATCCTGTGTCAAAGAACAAAATAAACCTATTTCCACATCTGACCTTGCATTTGGCCCCCTAGGCAAACAGCACCTAAAAGAAGCAGCTTGCTTTTTTTTTTTTTTTTTTTTGGTGGTACTGGAGGTTGAGCCTAGGGTCTTCACAAAGCTGTTTCTTCAGCTCTTTCTAAATTTTGAGACACAATCTAAGTCACTAAATTTGCACAGGGTAGCCTTCAGCTTGTAATCTTCCTTCCTCAGCCTCCCAGAGTGCTGGAACTGCAGGTCTGCACCATCACACCCAGCTATAAGAGGCCCAAAGTACCCCTTAGTCACTCCATTTAATTACCTTTTTCACCTCCCATCCCTCCATAGGTGAAGTGTTTACTAGGAAGTCAGCCCCATCTGAGGAAGGCTTTGTCTGCTGTGAGCATTCCCTTCTGTCCAGTACCTGGCATCCACAGAACCTCATTAAACTACTGTGAAGTTACTTAGGCTCTCATATCAGACAGTGAAGTCCTTGAGGCCTGGAAGGTCAGATTCTTTGAAACCCATGTCCAGAGGGAGAGGCAGCAGAATCTGGCTCATTTTCTCCCAGGGGCACATACTAGATTCCCCAGAAGCTAAACCGAGGAGGAATAGCCTAGGGAGAAATGAAGAGAGCAAGAAAGAAATTATTTCTGGGCCGGAGATTTGGCTTGGTGGTTCTGCTGCCTGCCTCCCAAGTACAAGGGTCCGAGTTTGATCACCCGTACCAAAAAAGAAAGTTATTTCTTCTCCTAACAATCAGTAACACTGAGTAATCAGGGTGACCCCAGCTTTTCTGAGGGCCACAGGAGGACCCTGAGCAGCCCTGCACAGCTCCTCATGCTCTTCTCCGAAGGGCACTCATGAAGGAACAGCTTGCACCGCCATTCTGTGCTTGGGACACCTGGCTCTGCTCCTCCTCCAGGTTACCACACAAGCTGCCAGTGATGCCCTTGGTGCTTTATTTTGCTTCAATTAAAATGGATCTAATTTGACACTGCAGGTGCACTTTTGCCATTTAGGCCAAAAAACAATAAAGTTGAACCTGAGTTTCAGGGTTTCTGTGAGCAAGAGGCATTTACATTGGAGGCTCAGGCCTGTGTGAGAATTAAAAGAAAGAACTGATATAAAATGTTTAACACAAGGCCTGACAGTACTTAAGTATTTCTTCTGCATTTTGGTGTTTATTACTCAAGGAAAGGGTACAATTTTAAATGCTCAGAGACTACAAATACATTTTAAAAATAACATGGCCTACATTTTGACATTTAGGAAAATTTACACATTGAAAACTTTGATTGGGCTGTGAATTTCAAATTCTGCCTGGAAAATAAGAATGTAATGAAAGTTTAGTGCTGCCTGTTTCTTTCCGGTATGCACACAGTATCTCAAAACATGGCTATTTTACTTTTTTAATTATACAAATGATACATTTTCAATGTAGAAAAATAAAAAGATATAGATAGGCAATGGTCTTATCTATACCTTTCTGAATTTTTTTTCCTTTGGAGATAATATATAATTTTGTTACAATGCTTTGTGCCTCTCAAAAACAAAACAAAAAAAAAACCCCACAAAAATCCAACCATATAAATGAAGTTAGACAGGCCTTAATATACAGAACAGGTAATAACCTATATTATATACAAATCAGTGTGCATTCATTTTAATTTTTCTTTTGGTGGTAGATTAAACTCAAGGCCTTACCACAAGCCAAGCACCCTCTACCACTAAGCTATATCTGTGGTCCTCATTTGAACTTTGATTTAAAAAATTTAAACTGATAAATCAAGTGTGGTGGTGCACACCTGTAATTCTAACACTCAGGAGGCTGAGGCAGGAAGACTGCTGTGAGTTCTAGCCTGGTGGATTACACAGTGACTTCCAGGTCAGACAGGACTACATAAAACCTAAAAAGAAAAAAATAATTAAATTGATGCTATTAGTGGCTGGGGATTTAGCTCAGTGGTTCCACCGCCTGAGCCAAGTTGGATCCCCAGCACCAAAAAAAAAAAAATTTATGCTATTAGAATCCTACTAAAGATTCCAGCCCCCGCCCCCAACAATGTCCTGGGAATCAAAGCCAGGGCTTTACATGTGCTTCATGGTATTCTTCCACTGGGCTCCTCTTCCAGGTCTAAAAGATTCCCCTTCAACAGAAGCAGTTTCAGAGTAACTTAGAACTTGATCCAGGGATGTTCCTGGCAAACAGCCAAGTACTCCTTTTTTCATTAAAATAAGCAGCTTTCTACTACTGCCTCTTTTGAAGAGAATATTCTGCTGATTTCGTCACAAGATCTTCATACATATATTTAGTGAAAATCTCATTCATTCTGGCCTTCTTGGAAATATTCATCAAACATAGAGGAAGACTCATCTTCGTGCTCCTGACAAAGGAAACAGAAAACAAGATACATTCACTTCTCCTAGAGAGACAAGTGTGTGCTGCAGACTGATTAGGGAATGCTTTCTATGCAACTAATAAATCCAGTACCAGCTCCACGCACTGTTCCTTGGTAACTGCTAATGGTTAAGAACGGCACAGTGGATAGCCTTTTTCCAGGGATATGGCAAACTGCTGTGCTTATATCTCATCTCATGCATTTCGCACTTAAATTTACATTGAAAATGACTCTCTGATGACTCGCTTTGCTAGTGATCTCCTGATGACTGTCATCAGTGACCCCAGTGACGTGTGAGAGCACCCAATTTCAGCTGGATTTCACCTCCTCTTTGTACAGAACCCCAAGCTGCAAGCCCAGAGACTTAACTTGCTGATATCACCTCAATACAAGGTATAGGGAAGTCGGACACAGACATTATACAGAAAAGCCCAAGTAATAGCCACCATGACAAAAAACTAATTTAAGGAGTTGCTTGGTTTATGAAGGAGGCTGCTGAGCGCTGGCAGATATTTTCCCCAAAGCCAATAAAAACTTCAAATCAGAAATTACCTTTGGTTCTTTAAATTCCAAGTCTTCTCCATACTGAATGGCAAAATCGATATGCTGTAACACGATGTTCATGCTTTCTTCATCTGACTGATCAAAAGGTAAAAACCGAACCATGCTGTAGTCATCAATCTATGAGTTGGGGATTTCAAGAAAAGTTCATTCTGAAGTTGTGTAAAATACATAATTTTCAATGTAGATCTGAGTTTTATAACCATTTATACTTCTGATTAAAAACATCTCTGGAGTAGAGGCGAAGGAGAGGTAGCCAGACATAGAACAGCAACAAATCGTTACTGATTTTCTGACTTCTGATCCTCCACTACATTCACTGGCTCTTTACTCTGAGACTGTTCCACTGGTATTTATCTGAATTCAACACCAACTAGAAATGTCATAAAGGTATAAACAAACAGCTCAGAGCTGTTCAAATGGCTTGAAATAATGAACATGTTAATTTATTGGCCTGCCAATAACTACTTCACTTTTTATTTGTTTTTTTGAGATAGGGTCTCACTATGTAGTTCAGACTGGCCCTGAACTCACTCTGTAGCCCAGGCTGGCCTTGAACTTGCTGAAATCCTCCTGCCTCAGCCTCCCAAATGCTGAGATTACAGGCGTGCACTATCAAGGGCTGTGACAACTACTTCTAAGTTAAACTGCTTATGGTCCACTCATTCCCTGCCCACCTCCCTCCTCTTTGCAGAACATCACACTGTACTGTGCCTCTTGCAAAGGTGGCCACTGACTGGACATGGGCAAACATTGAGTTATTTAGGGAAAAAGAACCAAAAAACTGCTTACCAGTCCGCATATAGCTTTATTCAATTTTTTGAATTTTTTGCTTCTTATGTCACTGGTCGAATCTTCCAACAAAGAATACATATCTGGATCTAGAAACCTTTAAAAGTGAGGAAAAAAAAGAGACTAATGATAAAAGGAAAAACAAATCAGGAAACTATATTTACAGACTGACAGAACCTCACATCTCAGTAAAACAAAAGGTTCATCTTGGCAGCTGAGAACTGAAGGTAAAGGAATAGTGAACTCACTTCTCAATTTCCTTTTTAGCTTTCTTACTCAGAAGATCCATTTTCGTCATGATGTTAACTTGTGGGATTTCTAAAGAGACCATGGCACTCAGGGCTGTCAGGATGCCAGAAATAAACTGAAGGAGGAAACAGAAAAGAGAAGATGAGTTACTTGTTGGCAAATAATTCTCCAAATAAAGGGCTTTTACTCCTCCTTGGAAGAGAACTGGCCCAGGGGAAAAAAAAAATGCTAGCTGACCTGGTGGCCATGCCTGTAATCTTAGAACTCAGGAGGCTGAGGCAGGAAGACTGCTTCGAGTTTGAGGCCAGAGTAGACTACATAGTAAGTTCAAGGCCAGCCTGCACTACAAAGCGAGACCCTGTCTTAAAAAAAGAAAGAAAGACAGACAGACAGAAACAGAAACGCTGATATTATAGAAAAAGATGAGGGAAGATGTAGATTTAAGTTCTGGTGATTACATATCTGGATTTAGACAGCACTGTTAACCACTCTTCCCATCGAATACACTCAAGAGCTACTCGTGAGAAATGAAATTGGATTCAGATAGTTTGTAAACTGGACAAAATACTTATTTTTATTATTGGAATACTCTATATATTTCATTTATGTTTGAGACAGAGTCATACTACATAGCCCCGGTTGGCCTTGAACTCAGTGATCCTCTCCTGCCTTAGCCTCTTGAGTACATGGATTATAGGCATGTGCCACCATGCCTGGTTGGCTTCTTTTCCTCCTGCCCCAGCTCCCCTTCTATATGCATTCTTTTTTTTTTTTTCCTCTGGTACTGGGAATAGAACTCAGGACCTTGCACTTATAAGGCAGGCACAGTGCCACTGAGCTACATCCCCGGCCTTTTTTTTTTTTTAAAGACAGTCTCATTGTGTAGTTCAGATTGGCTATGAACTCATTATGTAGGCCAGGCTTGTCTTGCACTTGTGACAATCCTCCTGCCATAGCCTTTGGAGTAGTGGGATTACAGGAATGTGCCACAATGCCCAACATCTGGCCTCTATATTTTACTTATTTTTATTGGTACGTTTTAGATATACATAATGATAATATTCATCATAGGGAATCCGTACCTGATATATCCTGCTTTTTTCTTGCCTTTCCCTTCAAACACTCTTCGTCATTATTCACAAAAGCTGTTCCCATTTTTGTCTATATTTTCTTGTCCCTTCTTTTCCTTCCTTGTTCCCCCTCCCTTGTTCCCCTTCTCATTTGAATATTTTCTTCCCAGTTCCCAATATCTTATATATTTTGGTCTAGTTCCACTTCTGGTTTCTCACACCAGACAAACAATGAGGTATTTAAACATTTGTGTCTGATTTATTTTACTTAAGAGTACGGTCTTAAGGTCCATCCATTTAGCTAGAAATGTCCCAAGCTTAACCTTCTTTATGGCAGAGTATAAAAAAAGCCATTGTATTAAAAAAAAACCACATCTGCTTTATCCATTCATTGGTTGATGGGCATCTGGGCTGTTTCTAAGATTTAGCTATTACAAACTGTGCTGCTATAAACATAGTTGTGCATATACTGCTATGGTATGGTGCTTTTAATTCTTTTGGGAAGGTATCAAGGGGAATAGCTGGGGATTTTTAGGGCTTGAAATACTTCACTTCAAGCTCTCCTTGACTTGGGGGTTTGTGTTGGGATTTCCTGCGATTCTGATGAGTTTTCCTTTATAGGTGATTTGTTTTTCTCTCTCTTTTTTTTTTTTTTTTGGTTTTTGGTTTTTTGAGATAGGGTCTCACTATGTAGTTCAGACTGCTCTGAAACTCACTGTTTAGCCCAGGCTGGTGCTGAACTCACAGCAATCCTTCTGCCTCAGCCTCCTGAGTGTCGGGATTACAGGTGTACGCCACCATGCCCAGCTTTTTTTTTTTCTAAGTTTTCAATATTCTTTTCTTGTGTTGAATTTCTGGAGTCTTAACTATTCTGACAATGTGGATTATTTTTGATCATGGCTAGTTGAAGTTCTATATGCCTCACTTATATATCAAATTCTTTTTCCATGCTTGTGAAGTTTTCTGCCATTACTCCTATAAATAGGCTTTTAAAGTTCTTTGCAGTATCTCCTGCTTTCATTGACTCTGATCAATCTTATGTTATATTTGTATCAACTAGCAGCTATTGGACTGATTTTTCATGGTCTCTATTTTTAAGAAATCTTTCTTTTCATGATTGCATATCATAATCCTGTCTTCTATATCTGATATTTTCTTAACATACTGGCTCATTCTGCTGGGTATACTTTAAATGGATTTTTTTTTTTTTTTTTTTTTTTTTTTTAAAAAAAATTTTTTTTTTTTTTTTGTACCAGGGGATCGAACAGGCAGGTGGTGGAACCACTGAGCTAAATTCCTGGCCCTCAATGGAATTTTTAATCTCCTCAACATCTGTTTGAATCTGTTTCATGGATTTCATTTGTTTCCTATGTTGGGCATTCACGGTTTCCATTATTTTCCTAAGCTCTTCTAGTTTTTTTTAAATGTGTATCTACTCTAGAATTACTAACCATGTCTTTCATTATGGTCACCATCTCTGTAGTCACCTGAGAAATTATTTTTTTCTAGAGCCTTATCTATCTGCTTTGTTACTTCTACTATTACCATTTCAGAGATTTTGGCTGGGTGGCTTTCAAACTGTTCTCCCTCATTGGCCCCTGGGTTTACCTTGGGAAGCTGGAAGTCTGGGGTTCATCTTGCTTAAGTGTCTTCTCATTTTCTTTTCTTTTTTTTTTTTTTGGTACCGGGGATTGAACTCAGGACCTTGTGCTTGCCAGGCAGGTGCTGAACTCTAGTAACATTTTTCTGGTACCAGGGATCAAACTTAGGACCTTGTACTTGTGAGGCAGGTGGTGGAACCATTGAGCTAAATCCCCCACCCCTGTGGTAGCTATTAATTTGCCACCTTTAATTATATGAACTATATTTGTGGCTATATAACAAAATCTAAAATGAACCACAAAATTCTATACAGTAAATATGCCCTCAATGTGACAATTTTACCTCCAGGAGAAAAAAATTTTAGAGGAGTTGGGGGAAAAAAGAGAAACAAAAAGAGGAAGAGATTAGGAGGCTGGAGGACAAAGGAAGATTACAGAAATTTTGGGAAACTGGTGAAGATAGTAGGCAAAGAGAAGAAAGAAATAAAAAGAACAGAACAGAGCAACAACAACAACAAAAAATTAGAAAAATGTTCACACATATAACACAAGAACAAACAATTAAGAAAAAAGAAAACAGGGCCTGGAATTTAGCTCAGTGGCACAGCACCTGCCTTGCAAGTGCAAGGTCCTGAGTTAGATCCCTGGTTAAACAAAAAAGAAAAAAAAAAGCAGAAGAAAACAAAATGTCCACTTCAGTGTGTATTTCTCTTGTCATTGGTAGACAGAGTGGGCAGACAGAGCCCAGTATTGATCAATCCCAACCAGCCAGCCGTAGATTTATGATGTGCTAGTGGATAATCACAGCAAGCCTGCACTTTAGTTCCACTGAAGTTCAGGATGATTTCTGGCTCTGAGGCCGAAGCCAATTTGTTCAGCCTGCAACATGTCATGTGCTGCTTGCCAACTTGAACTGGGCTCTGTGATCTCCTGTTGACTTGAACTCAGCTCTACCTTACCGAGGCTGGGAGCCACTAGATGGAGCCAGTCCACAGCTGCTCTGAGTTTTGAGGTCAGTTGGCCCCTGTCCAAGATGGCTACCAACCAATTGCCCTCTGGGTGTCGGGGGGATCTAAACTTCACTGCAGTCTGTTCATAAATTGCCACATTCCACTGATGTGTTTCTCTATGGAGACCTCTGGCATTGCCAGCAGTGAAGGTGTGTCTGTAGATTTTAGCTGCACCTCCCATGCAGTAAATCAGGGCTCAAGGAGAAAGCACTGCTTGCCACCTCCTTCTGCACTGAGGTCTCACTCTTCGCCCTCCTTGTGAGCTTCAAATTCTTGCTTCACATCCTTGCTGGATCCTGGGGACCCACTTCCCAGTCTTCTCTTCTCATGTTAGTATATTCCAGTATCTAGATAGCAAGGAGAGGCTGTTTCTCTGCTGTTACCACTTCACCATCTTCCTGGCAGCCCACTTACAGATTTTTTTTAAAATATTTTTTTGTTTTGTTTTGTTTTTTGGAGACAGGATCTCACTAAGTAGTCCAAACTGGCCTTGAACTTGTGGTGATCCTGCCTCAATCTGGAATTGCTGGCTTGACAGGCATGTGCCACCACACCTGGCTGATGGGTGATTAGTTTAGAATGACCATCATGTGTCAGATCTCCTGGCACCTATATTTTTAAAAATATCTACCTACCTCAATATTTTCTTGATGAGCAGGTCCTCAAAATCTGTATGATATCATCATTTACTACTTTCAAGTTAAAACATGTTAGCATGATAACAAGGTATACTAAATCACTGAAATAGTCTGGTGAAACATCCAGAATCACACAGTAATTAAAGGAGACTGTTTTCTACTTGTACCTACCTATCACTGCAAAATTAACAAGACAGGCAGGCATAGTGGAGCACGCCTGTAATCCCAGCACTTGGGAGCCTGAGGCAGGAGGATCGCTGTGAGTTTGAGACCAGCCTGGGCTACATAGTGAGTTCCAGATCAGTCTCAACTACATAGTGAGACCCTGTCTTAAAACAAAACAATACAAACAAAACAAAACAAACAAATTAACAAGAGATTTATCCTCATACCTTGAAGGACTCTACCATGAATTGAGAATCAACAAGGAACACGCCACAGACTTGGAACTCCCACTGTTCCAGCTGCTGGACCAGCTGTTTCATCACAGGCAGATGAGTGTACAACTCAATCTGACCTACATGAACAACATCATGTAAATGGTGGAAAAAGAATGGGAAATCAGTTCTTAATAATAACATTCAATTTGTATAGGGCCTTCTAGCCTCAAAGCAATCACAAAACCTAAGGTAATGCCACCATAATAATCTCAAGCAAACTATCCAGTCTAATGTAGAAAATGAAGCTCCTCATACTACATAGCTTGCCAGTCAAAAGTGAGTGCTAAGGCTGGGAATGTAGCTACATGATAAGAGCTTGCCTGGCACACCCTAAACTCAATATACAGCATTACAGTGAAAAAAGGCTAGTAGAGTGCTACAAAGGGTTGTGCAGTTTGGCAATACCAAACTCTACATTTATGATGTACACACTTACTGCAAGTACATGTATATTCAATTAGAAACAAATGAGTGCCATAAGTGATCAGCCAGGTTAGTTAGACTTGGGTCTTAAGAAACCATCCATAATTACCAGACTCACCATATGGCACCTTCCTCTTTTTTTTTTGCTCCAGCCACTCTGCCCTGTGCAGTGCCTCAAGCCCACCTGTTCCTTGCTGATCAAGGTCTTCAGCCTGCTGTGCCCTCTGTCTGGACCACTGTCTTCCACTTTTGCCCCATGGCCCAGCTTAATGACCACCTGATCTGATTCCTCTCTGAGCTCCCTGCTTCATGACAGTCTGTTACTTCTGTGGAATGCTGGTCACAAGTGCATATTACATCATCATCATATGGGAGATTTCATTTACACTCATGCACTCTGCAGACTGTGAGCTCTGTGAAGGCACAGACCATGCTTCTTTACTCTCTATGGTGTTCCCAGGGTATAAAAAGCCCTCAGAGGATGAGGTTAAGACTTTGGTTCCTTACTGCACTACAGTCTAGAGCTACACCTTCTTCCGCTGAGAGCACAATTACAGCTTCAAGGAAAGCAACACACATTCACATTGATGACTTGCCTGGACAGTCAAAAAGGATGTAGTCATCTTCCACATGGCCAAGACAGTTCTCTAACCAGTCAAAATTATTGGCAAAGTACTCCATGCAAAACACCAATCCTCCATTGGGACCAAACCGGAGAGAGTCATCCTCCATCACATCATCCACTTCAATCAGTTCCCGGATATCTGAAAGGGACAGACAGGGCCTAGAATAGCACTATCCACTAAAAAAATTATTATCTTCTCCAGTAATAACAATTATACAAAAACTTACATGTATGAAATCATTTATATACTTTTGACTGTAGCAGTATCAATGAACGAAGAACTGACCAATAAATTATTATATAGCCAGACACTATACTGGAGTAATATGTGGCCATAAAAAGGAAGGGGAATTTTCTAAGTGTATAATAAGTTAAAAAAAAAAATTTGGTGCAGGAGATTTAGCTCAATGGTGCTGCTGCCTGCCTCGCAAGTGCAAGGTCCCGAGTTCAATACCCCACCCCAAAAAAGCTGGAACTAAAAAATCTATGGTGCAGGGCCAGGGATTTAGCTCAGTGCGGCCACCGCCTGCCTCACAAGTTTAAGGTCGTGAGTTTGATTCCTAGTACCAAAATAAAGAAAGAAAAACAATGCAAGCTTTTTTTTTTTTTTGCACCAGGAATCAAACTCGGGTCCTTGTACCCAACCCAAGCTATTGTCCTTTAAAATGATTCTAGAGAAGCTACTTAACCTCCTGAGCCTCTCTTTTCCTTTTATAAGATGGGAAGTGGGGTGGGAATCATACATCCTGGGATAGAAGGATGAACATTAATATAAATCACGTATTAGAAGGGCTTAAAAACTCTGGTATACGTATTTTATTCTCTTACCAACTTTTGGATCAATATTTAGATATTAGGCTCTTGTTTTTTTTTGTTTTTTTTTGTTTTTTGTAAAGAATTACCGTAACTTTTATTTTTGCTTAGTTTTATTAAAAAAATAAATATGTCATAAAGCTTTTGTTTCCTTTAGGGAGAAAAAAATGGAACAACTTTCCTAAAATCAAATAAGCAACGGTAAGGTGTCTTAACTTGAAAAGAGTGGAAACCACTGGTTGACAAGGTGTAACTGAATGAAAGAACAACTGCCACAGGTGCCCGTTTCATGCCAATGGCAGCAAACAACAGGATCAACTAAGGCGAAAATAAATAACTGTGTGGAAGCCCTGGTAAGTGCTTAAAACAGGCGGATTCACTGACACACCAGTATAGCTCTATCTTGCTTTAAACAACACAGAAATTCCTGAAAAGTTCTGGTTAAATAATGTAACCACAAACACACTAGGAGGCTTGGCATCTGAAGGAACTCTGTGGTAAACTACTCTGCGAACATAGGCTCTTGTTTTTAGTACTGGGTATGGACCCAAGGCCTCATGGCTACTAGGGAAGTACTCTACCACTGAATTACATCTCCAGGCCTTCTTAAATTTTATTTTGAGACAGAGTCTCACTAAGTTACATAGACTGACCTCAAATTTATGATCCTTTTGCCTCAGCCTCCTGATTAGTTGAGAGTACAGCCCATGCCTGGCTTTACATTATATTTCTGCCCACATCTATAATCTTCGTCATAAAGTATCAGGCTTCATTTACACTGACATTTTATTCCTACCCTTTCTCCAAGGATAAATAATGATCCAGGCAGGGACAATAAAACTGGCCTTCTAGAAGGATGAACCAAGGATACTAGTCAGTCAGTAAAACACCTCAACCAGAAAATGATGTAAACCTGGGTACCTTGCCAGGCCACACACATCCTGAAGCAAAAAAAGAGAAAAAAGAACAGAGACAGACAGAAGGCAGGTTTTGGTTCCTGCTAGTTTTATGTTGTTTTTTTGTTTTTGAGACAGGGTCTATGTAGCTGTAACTGACCTGGACCTCGCTATGTAGCCCAGGCTCATCTCCAACTCACAGCGATCCTCCTGCCTCAGCCTCCCCAGTGCTGGGATTATAGGTGTGCACCACCACGTCCGGCTTTAGTTTTTATGTTTTGGAGTCTAGATTCTCATAAAAATCTTGTTCTTGGGTTTTGTGAGAGGCTGAGTCCATCCAGTAAATCCTTCCAGGCCAGTTTCAAACTCACAATCCTTTCTGCTCTAGCCTACCAAGTACTAGGATTATAAGCATGTGCCACATAGTTTGGCCCTGATAAGCCTTCTGCTTCACATCTCCCCCTTTCTTTTCAACCTGCCTCTCCCAAATCCACCCACTCTCAGATACGAATGACACCCATTATTATCAGAAATCAGAAGTCAACCAAAGAGAACACTTCATACTCCCACTACCAACACTGTTAGGAGGAAGCACTCCACTCCTAGCCAGACAAAACCCTCCCCATTCAGGTCTCCTTTCCTTTTTTACTCAAGATTATTTCTCTAGTACCTTTGACATCTTCAGTTTCATTTTCTTTTTTGTTTGAAGAGGGGGTCTCATGATGTTTTGCTTTGTTTTTGCTTTTTTTTTGGTATCGGGGATTGAACAGGGTCTATGTGACCTAACAGGTCTCAAACTCCTGGGCTCAAGTGATCCTCCCACCCCAGCCTTCCTAGGAGCTGAGACTACAGGCATGAGCCACACCTGGCGTCTATGAAGGTATATTTTCCTTCTCCTTTTTTTTTTGGATACAGGGTCTTACTATGTAGTTCAGCTTTGGTTTTTTGTTTTTGTTTTTTCTTTTGGTACTGGGGATTGAACTCAAGTCCTTGTGCTTGTAAGGCAAGCAGCAGAACCAGTGAGCTAAATCCCCAGCCCTGTCACTTTGTAGTTCAGACTGCCCTGGAACTCACTGTGTAGTCCAGGCTGCTCTCAAACTCACAGTGCTCCTCTTGCCTCAGCCTCTTGAGTGCGGGGATTACTTGCACGCACCACCACGCCCGGCTCCTCCTTCCTTTCTGATGCCACTCTACCAGACCTCTGAAGAAGAAACAACTTCAAGGTTCAGTTTTGGGTCCCTCTTCTCTAACCACACTCCTTTCCTACATAAGCTCATCTAGACCTGGGGCTTTATGTATCTAGGTACAAAGGACCCAAATATTGTATCTTTGGGATGTCAGTAGTTTCTACTTAACCTTATTCTTTTTTACCTAAACTAACTTGAGTACCCTCTGTATACTGCAATCAAATCAGCTTTAGTATAGATTTACGACAGTTATAACTAAGCAAGAAAGGAGCAGAAGGGAAGAGAGGTAGGAGAGGAGTCCACTCATTATAAATCATTCATCAAAACCCAAGAAAGGGTATTTTCACACACATCACCATGAATATACAGCATCAAATGACATTCACCTCATGACGTTCACCATGAACCAAGGAAGTAGAGTGCAATAGTTTTTGTAATTTTTCAGTTTCTGTGCCTTGCCCTTCCTGAAAGGAAAAGGCTCTGCTAGGACTTACCAGCCATCACAGGGTAGTTGAAATGTTCTGCTGCCGGGTCTAGATTTACCACCTGGACAGACCGGTTGAGGGCTTCACAGTGCTGGACCATGGTAGCACAGTAGGTGCTCTGTAATGTCACAAGGCATGAGGAGTTAGAACAAGCAGTGTGATGATAGTCTCTGTACGCTTAGAAGGAATCTCCACATTCTTTGGAGTAGTATCCATTAAAGCCAAATCTCTGCTTTCATAACCAAGAGACTGGCAGAAATCGAGGCAAAAGACACTGCCTGGGTTGCAGCTCCAAGACTTACCTTAAACTGACAGGAAATGCCAAGGAAGCTGCTTCCTCTCTCTGACCTTCAATTTTGTCTCTAACTGGGTTGTCCTCTATGATCATTAAGGTTACTTATTGCTCTAACATACAACAAGGGGAATTTTGTTGTTGTTTGTTTTTTGAGAAAGGGCCTCACTTTGTAGTTGAGATTGACCTGGAACTCACTATGTAGCCCAGGCTGGTTTTGAACTTCTGGCTAGAATAATTTAAACAGTAATAGAAAACAGCTAGCTAGCCAGGCGTGGTGGTTCACACCTGTAATCCCAGCACTCGGGAGGCTGAGGCAGGAGGATAACTGTGATTTCGAGACCAGCCTGGGCTACATAGTGAGTTCCAGGTCAGTCTCAACTACATAGTGAGACCCTGTCTCAAAAAACAAAACAAAACAAAAAAAAAAAAGAAAAGGAAAAAGAAAATGTAGCTCAGAGGTAGGGCTCATGCTTTAAAAGCATAAAACCCTAGATTTGATCCCTAGCCTCAAAAGAAAAAAAAAGGAAAAGATTTCTGCTTACACAGTGTAATGCTCAACATATAGTGCTTCTACTAGGACTTACTGCCCAAATACTTTAGTAGAAGGGCCACGGTGATGTCTCCGAGTAGAGAGTAGTACCTGAGCACATGGGAGCATGGCTATCAACCTAGAACTGTACTCCAAAGAGGAAGCATTAAGGTCAAGAAATAGCCTGCAGACGGGTTATCATCTTGTCACTTCTGCTTTAGAAAGCTCTTTACTCTTAAAGTATTCCTTACCACACTATGTTAAAATTCTAAGCTACTTTTTTTTTTTTTTCCGGTAGTGGCAATCAAACTCAGGAGCTTGGGCTCGCCAGGTGGGCACAGTGCTGCTCAGCTACATCTCTAGCCTCTAAGCTACTTTTTTGTCTCTTCCACTCAACCTGTTTAAAGACAGAGCTGTTACCTCATTTTTTTTTCTTCCAGTACAGGGATTGAACCAATGACCTTTGCATTGAGCTACATTCCTAGTCCTTCATAAATTTTTTTTTATTTTTTTAGGCAGGGTCTTTTTGTTAAGTCCCAAAGTTGTCCAGGCTGGCCTTGAACTTGGAATGCTCCAGCCTCAGCCTCCCGAGTGCTGGTTACAGGCCTGCACTACCATGCCAGGCTTCTCAGTTTTATAACCCCTGGGACCAGCACATACCTGTTACATAATAAATGCTTGGTAATTATTTCTATCTGACTTACTGTGTTTAAACACAACCTCCACAAGGACAAAGACTTTTATTTTGTTTGCGAAACAATCACAAGGGCTCAAATCAGTGCTTGACATAAAGAATATGCTCAATGAGTATTTTTGATAATGGGCATCAAAAATTTATAATACATACTTTTTAACACAATCCCCAAATTAATCTAGAATACAGAATAACTTCCATCATGATTCTCTCCTTTACACACATCATTCTCTCTACTTTGGAAGCCATCTCCAGGCATCATTCCATGTCTTAACAGACAAGTCACCTATCTTTTCAGACACAGGCTCTGTATAGGTGAGGGTCATTTAGTCACATGTATATGTGACTTTGAATCCAGAATAGGTCAGGGACTCGGAACATGTTTGTCAAAGATTGATGCCACAGAACACACCCAAACTCTCGTGTTTCCTACATGTCTATAATTTGATCATTACCTTCACTGTTTATACTGTATTTGAGTGCTTCTAACATTATTTCTTTAGTATTTATTTACAAGAGAAACTATCACTATTGTAAACAGAAACCAATTATGATTACATTTATCACGGTATGAAGGTAACAATAAAATTATATACAACTTTTAAATGAATTTCTGTGTGTGTGTGGTACTAGAGATTGAAACCAGGGAGCATTTGGCTGGGAATGGTGGTGAATGGCTGTAATCCCAGAACTCAGGACTCTGAGGCAGGAGGATCTTGGCAAGTTCCAGGCCAGCCCAAACTACAAAGTGAAGCCCTGCTTAAAAAAAAAAAAAAAAGCACAAGCGCACAAAACCCTATCCCACCCCTTAAAACAGAGAGTGCTGAGCTAAATTCCTAGCTTCTTTGTTTTGAGACTGGCTTTGAACTTGCAATCCTGCATCAGCTTCCAGAACAGATGGGATTAAAGACATGTGCCACGCAGGAACTTCTAAACTTTTAGAAATAGGAAATTTCTAAACTTTTTAAATAGAATTTCCTATTAAAAGCCATAAGTCTTAAATCTACTCTCTGAAAAGACTTAGGAATTAAATGGTGAAGATACACTAGAACCAAACAAATCTCACCTCACTACCAAGTGAAGAACTAAGAGAATTGAAAAGGAAACAACTCTCTCTATAAATGATCCAGTGATCTTTAATATCAGCTCCATGTACCACCTAGTATTACCACAAATATCAAAAGTCTATGTCCTAACCTCTGAGAACAGTAAAGGACAAGACTCCACGTTAACCTCCTGGGTGCTAAATAAGGCCAGATTCTGGAGTTAGACAAAACTGGATTCAAATTCTGGCCGTAACATACTAGCGTGTGATTTGGGGCAAAAACCTTAAACCTTTCTTTTTGCATCTCGCTTTCCTCTACCTGTAAAGTGAGAATAATAAGACCTAGCTCACAAGTTGGTTGTGTAAATAAATAAGGCGTTTAGCGCGGTAACAATAAACATTAACAGCAATAGGTATTCTTCGAAGCAAAAACGGGGCACGGAGCGCAGAAGTGAGTTGCTCAAAGTCTGAGACCCCAGTACACACACCCATCGCCTTCTCAAGATCTGAACTCCTGTTTCCAACTGCTACTTTTCTCTCCTCACCTTCCCGCTGCCTGCGGGGCCCATGACCAGCTGCGCATACCGAGGCATGTCTGCCCTCCAGGTCCCGGCTGCCGTCAAACTCCCCTCAGCATACGCGCGACACCCACCGAGTTCCGGGAACATTAAATGTGAACCAATCGCAATCCAAATCCCTTTTACGTCTCCAGTTCGCCCACACTCCTGAGTACGGAGCGTTCCTCGGGCCAAGTTAAATGAGAAACTGGTCCTTAAGAGACTACGGTCTGACACGAAGGATTTGAGCAAGCGCAGAAGTAGTTGCCGGAAACCCGCAGTAGAAGGAACCGGCTAAGCCTGGTTGCCTGGGTGATAACGGTCAACCCTCAACTGTTCTCGTCCTGATGCTTTGACCCTCGGTTTGCAACTGATGTTTGAATTATATGTTGACGCTCAAGATATGCAATTTGCTGAGGGTCTGGAATACTGACCCTTTTGTTTTAGGGAGCATGTATATTTGCTTTCCATGACTTTTCTTCCACAAATAATCTCTTCCCACGCGCAATCGACGGAGGACTCCCGCCCCTC